TGCATGTTACTAGACCGGTTGGGTTAACCGGAGCTTGGTGAAAGTTGCCCTGAAAGTTGCCCTCAGTCGATCAACCAATGACTAAATCCATTTACTAGTTATTTACTATTTGATACGCGTATCGAACGATCGGTGTGAACTAGACCTGTGATTGGCTCACAGCTCGCTCTCATTGGTTAGAAGACAATCGCCAATCGTCAATCCCCAATCCAATCCGTGTCAACAATTGCCAGTCTGATTCGACCTTACAGAGATATGAGGATTGACGTGCACCGAATTTTGTACACGAGGTGCGAAGGATTTCTCGCTTGTGAATGTATGTCCGCTCATATAACTTGCAATTTCTCTTGCCCAAGGTAATTGTCGGATTTCGAACGTGTCGTCACAATTGTGCTTATCCGCCGGTCTTTATCTTAGGCTAAACGTTCCTTTTAAAATTTGTTTTTGCATCTTTGAGCGATACTAAAAGATGTGGGCGAGCAATTGCTTACGAATGACGTGTGTACTCGCGGAAAATTGTGGTCGCAAATTGTTGCTCTTGTGAATTCAACACATGTAATCTTATTAACAATCCGTGTAACAATTTCGCAGACAGATTTTGCACGATGCGTGTGCATGAAAGCGGATGAGGAATGGTAAGCGAAGCTTTCCGCAGCTGAGAAATTATTGAGCGAAAGCTCATCGCTACAGTGACGATGATAAATAAACTCTAGTAACACAATATATTGACGCGATATTGGTAAATAATGTAAATCTGGTATTCCCAATATTGGTCCAATATTGTAAAATGGACGCCTTTACTTATTTAGCCAATATGTCCGTTCAACAATATTGATCTAATAATTATCAATTTTAGACCAATATTCTTATTAGATTGTTAAATATTGACCAATGCACTTTTAATATAAATCTAATGTATAATTTTTATTGTGCAAACTTACATTTATTCCATGGCCAATATTGGCTTTACGTTGGGCAATATTGGTCAATAAATTTTTAGTATAACCAACATTGGGCCAATGTTTAGCCAATGCACTGCTGTATGGGAAGGAAATGAATTAAAATGGGAAAATTCCCTAATATTGACCACTTAAGATAAGAAATATATTTTAAACAATTTGAGCTATTGTCACTTAAAAAATGCAATGTTGCAAATCCTTATTCAACATTACATGAGGAGCTCGTCTCTTGGGATTATATACTGCTTGTACATATTTTATAAAATTGTTATTACATAGAGTTGGCATTGTATGCATATGGTGCTGTGATTAGAAATTGGTATTCAGAATTTGCAAACTATCCATTTACATGTAACATAAATACAAAACTTTCTGGCGATGAAAACATAAATGTATTCTTATTTAAATCGCAGGATGAGAAATTGATATACAATATTTGCAATAATTATATAGAGGAAAGTCCCCTATTATGAGATAGCGGGGGGTTTCTGTGAAATTAATAGGCATCGTCGGTTGATTCCACCATGAATTTATTGCCCTTGGAGCAAAATCTGTTTGGTAGAAAATTCATTGTTGGATTATATAATTGTTACGAAAGAAGATTTGTCATTGAATTTGGATGGTGACAACCCGCTATCTCAATAGAAGACTTTCCTTTATTGTATAATACTATATCTATTCTTACTCTAGGTTTCCAGGTAGAAAGTGAACTGCGGCGCACTAAGTAGTACTGCCTTAAAGAATGGACGGGGCCGATACTCGTTGGTGCTCCGCGCCAGGCTGTATGCTGAATATAAAAATAATGAAACGACATTTCTTTCGATTTCCAAAAGATAGGAAGAGGTATTTGCCTCGTTGAAACTGATATTATAAATTTGAAGATCTCTATATATTTTGTGCTTAGTATAAATAAACCATGTAAAGTCTCTTATTATGAGATAGGCTCCTAATGTGAGCTAGCGGAGTTTCTGCTAAATTAATAGGCGTCGCCTGTTGGTTCCATCATGAATTTATTGCCCTTGGAGTGAGATCTGTTTAGTGGAAAATTCTCTGTTAAATCGTGTAATCGTTGCGAACAAAGATTTGCGATAGAATTTGGACGCTGAAAACTTGCTCTCTCGTATTAGAATCCTATCTCATAATAGAGGACTTTCCTCTACGTGTCCTCGAAATGAATTTATATTCTTTATTTTGCATGTAACACGTTATATTCCAAGATTTATATAATTTTAGATGGCTCGAATGGATTAAAGCATGTAATAGAATGGACTTGATGACAACAGGCCCGGAATATGCTAATCGTTATTATCGATTATGCCATTTACACTTTCGTGTAGAAATGCTACGGAATATTGAGGGGAGAATTTATCTCAGCAAAGAAGCTGTGCCGTCGATATTTTTGAAGCCGCTGCTGACAGGAAAGTAAGTCAAGATTTATAGATGTATTTCAGTTTCTCTTTATTGTTGTATATTATTACAATGTTAGAGCTTAGTTACAGAATTGGTTTCCGAACTAAATTTTCAGATTACAAAATCATATTTAATAAGAATTAAAAGTACAACTTTCTCTCTCTCTTTCTCTTTTTGCAGCAGTACATCTACGACCTTGTTTCAGCCAATTTCTTTCGTAACTATATTTTTGAAGCCAGAAAGCAGACATAAGTAAGCGCGCAAGGTTTACTCGAATATTCTCGACTGTTCACCCACAGTGCAGAATAGTCATTAAATAATTCTCTTTCAGAAACTCGTCCTCAGATTTATCACAGTCCGAAGTGTCGCAAACGCATCCCATGAAACCTGAGGAAAAGTGAGCTTCTACCGTAGTATAACTAGTAGAGGAAAGTCCTCTATCATGAAATAGGATCCTAATATGGGACAGCGGGGTTTCTTTTAAATTAACAGGCATCGTCGGTTGATTCCACCATGAATTTATTGCCCTTGGAGCAAAATCTGTTCAGTGGAAAATTCATTGTTAGATTATATAATCGTTGCGAAAAAAGATTTGTCATTGAATTTGGATGGTGACAATCTATTATCTCATATTAGAAACCCATCTCAATAGAGGATTTTCCTGTATGTTTACGCTCCGTCGGCCCTTTGATCTCTTCGGTCCCGATCATGTGGTATTTCACCACGGTCAGGATCCAGCGGCGTGTGTATGTGTGTGTGTACGTACTCGTAAAAGCACACATACAACTTTTCTCTCATTGATCTGGTCAGGTCTGGTCAGGAAGATGACGGCACAGAAAGGGATCGACGCAAAACCAAACAAATGACGAAGTGAACATACTCGTTATACTGTGGGTTCCCATTTCTTCTCGGTACTACTGACAGTACTTCCAATAATTTCGAGCATTCGCTTTCAAAGAAAAGGTGCAAATGGTTGCATTTAAAAAAGAATAACTGCTATGTTATTACGAAGGATACTGGGATTTCTTTTGGGTATGATTTTCTCAGAAGTTGAAGTAGTAGCGTCCACAGTACTGGCAGTAGTACTGACAATGAGAGGATATGGGAACACGCCCTGTGCTTCTATTTTGCTACAAGAATTGCCTGATATAATCTAGAATATGAACTATTTCAATAAATTTGCATATAATTGTATATAGAAGAAAGTCTCCTATTATGAAGCAGGCTCCTAACATGAGACAGCTGAGTTTCTGCTAAATTAATAGGCATCATCTGTTGGTTCTACCATGAATTTATTGCCCTTGGAGTGAGATCTGTTTAGTGGAAAAATCATTGATAGATTGTGTAATCGTCGCGAAAGAAGATTGCATTTGGATGTTGAAAACTTGCTACCTCATATTAGAAGCCTATCTAATAATAGGGGACTTTCCTATACATAATCTATAACAGACGTGATAAAATACTTTACTGTACAAGGTTGATTATTATTGTACTGATTATTAAAGAAATGTAATTTCTTAATATAGAGATACAGCTATAATTTCACCAGTGCAAGCACTTTTCCCGAAAGCATCCATGAAACTGGCATACGACGACAGGTAACGTTCGCGTTAATATCGATATATCTGACTAAGAAATCCGTAATTTTTATTCTCTGTGTTACAAGTGTCAAATAATATATTTAATTTTGATTGTAGGAACGTGTCATCAGCTCAGACAACATTGCTGGACGTAAAATCAAATGATAACAGGTGAATAATACAGGGTGTTCCGTAACTTTTTGACCGCCGTTCACGGGAAGATAGAGGGGACTAAGTCGAACGGAAAAGTCCTCTACCATTTTGCACTTGGAGGAATAGTTATCGAGATATTGATGGTCAAAAATCGCCGTATTAGCCCAACCTACTGGCAAATGTAAGCGCGCGGTGAGATCCGCCCGTCCATCGGCCGCCGCTCGAGGCGGTGCGCGGCGAGGAGTAGGGAGGCGCGCCTCTGTCTGTCCGCCGCTTACACGACCACTCGCAAAGAGGTCAACTTTTTTCATAAGTCTATTCCTCGCCGCGAGCTTACATTTGCCAGTAGGTCGCGCTAATACGGCGATCTTTGACCATCAATATCTCGATAACTATTCCTCCAAGTGCAAAATGGTAGAGGACTTTTCTGTTTGTCCTAGTCCCCTCTACCTTCCCGTGAACGGTGGTCAAAAAGTTGCGGAACACCCTGTATAGTAAATACAACTCGTTAATACAATTATTCGTCTAATTAGCTTATTTTATTTATTCTCGTTTTACGTTTTAATAGAATTGCGTGTAAATGAAGTTATTCTAAGCATCTATTCATGATATCTTAAGAGAGATAAGCGCATTAAAACATCAAAACCTTTATTTATTAGGAGTGCTTCTACGACGGAAATACAATTCGTTAAGGAAATGTATGTGGATACGAAAGCGGCATCGTCGACATCGTCGCAAATATTCTCGGTGGAAGGATGCAGCGATACGTAAGCTGCGATTTTAAAAGATCAATCTATATAGAGTCATTTACAATTGCTCAACAGAATTTTTTTTTAACAGAGATATCATAGATTTAACAACCATGGACTCTTTAGAACCAACAAAGTCGTCGAAAGCAGTATCGGTTTGTGCAACGCAACAAAATGGCGACAGGTGAATATCTAAGAATTAAATACCACCTACTGTAGCAGAGATGCTGCAAGTTTTACGAAAGTTTGCTTTGACGATTAACGTCAAATTATTACAACAAAATAAATAACGCCAATTTAACAATGAAATGAAGATAGTAAAGACGAACTTTGTTAAATATTACAGAGCACCAAAGAGAAGACGTTGGAATGTCTCGACACAGACGCCAGAAGCGTGGATATACATCGACTCCTTTCTTCGAGGGAAGAAACGGACGGAGACATCCGAGACTTGCGATCTGGTCGCAAAGCGGAGAAAAACGTTCGGCGCGGAAGACGAAGATTGTCGCGTGAACATAGATCAATTTAAAGCGGCGTGTACAGACTTGCTGCCGCACAGTTCCGCCCTCCTAGTCTCGGCGTGCATCAACGCTTGCGAGAAGCCTAAGGCTATGAAGAGTTTTGAAGACAGGCAATTCGCGCTCGAGCTATTTTTCATGGCGTCGGACGCGTACAGATTTTACCGGCCGTTCCTCTCGCTTCCCACTGTGCGCCAGCTGTGGAGACACATCCGCAACTGGGACATGCCGCCTGGCTTGAACGACAACGTGCTCAACGCGTTACGTTTGAAGATAAAGTCATTGTCGCCGGCCGAGAGACACTGCTCCCTGTGCGTGAACGAAATGCAACTGAGGCCACATCTCTTTTACAATCTGTCGCGCGACAGAATCGTCGGTTTTCACGACACCGGCACGGACAAGCGGCGCACGCTGTCGAGGAAGGTCCTGGTAATAGTGGCATGTAGTTTGGTTGGCGACTGGGAGCAGCCCGTCGCTTATTACTTCCACGGTACGTGTCGCGTCGACACCTTGAAGACTCTGATATTCCAAGCGATAACCAGGTTGAAGAGCATCGGCGCGAACGTGCACGCTTTGACTACCAACACGTCGCCGACGTTTCTGCGACTGTCGCAGCTACTGGGAATCACCGCGGAGCGTCCGTCGTTCCTGGTGAACGACGAGAGGGTGTTCTACATCTTCGATGTTACGCGGCTGATGAGAGTGACTAGAAACGTGTTCAGGAGTCACGAGCTCCGCTTTTGCGAGAAGCGGGCCTCCTGGACGGACATCGAGCTCTTTTTCAGACGCGACAGCCAGATGCGATTGCCGTTGGCCCCTAAATTATCCGTGAGCCATCTTGAGCCCGATAAATGTCAAAAGCTGGAGACCAAGTACGCCGTTCAAGTGTTCAGCGGCAGCATAGCTGCGGGTCTTAGCGCGCACATCGCATCTGGCGAGCTACCGCTGGAAACGATCGGAACGATGGAGTTTATACACAATTTCGATCGGCTGTTCGACGTCCTTAACTCCTCCGCGTCGGCCAAGTCGAGCGCCAAGGATTTCGGACAGGCTTTCACGGGTAGCGTGCACGAGATGAGCTTCTTGCAGCAGACCCTCGACTTTTTCAAGTCCCTCAAGATAGTAGACAGGAACGGCGCGTGCGTCAAGTCGATCAAGTGCTTCGATCGCTGGCAGATCACAATCAATGCGATTATTCAACTGTGGGATGTGTTGAAGGGGCACCAGCTTCCCTTTCTCTGCACGCGAAGGCTGAATCAAGAGAGCATCGAGCGCATTTTTCGTTCCATTAGACGGCAAAGCGGAGATCGCGCGAGACCCACGCCTATCCTGTTTACTCGCGCGTTCAAGAACCTCGTCAGCAAACACTTCCTTGAGCATTCGAGCGGGGGCGATTCCGCTGCGAACGGGCGAAAGATGCTCAAGCGGATAACATCGACGCCATCCCTATCGGTGGTCTCACCGACTGACGAGGTTCCACCTGACGTTCAAGCAGCTCTGGGCGTCGCGGCGACGAATTATCGCAACATTGATTTGCCCGAGAGATGCGCGTTCAAGCGCGTCTGCGAGTTTCTGCTCAACGAGTGTCTGCAGGCGCACGTTAATTGCGACGTGTGCGTCGCGTATGCCGCCAAGGAGGGCGGCTGCTCGTCCAGCAGAGACACCGCCAACTCTTTTAATCGCTACATTCGCGGCCTGGAAGATATGTTCATGCGCAACTTCGAGAAACTCTCCACCGAGGAAAAGCTCGGCGCGCAGATGCTGCAGCTCGCGCAGCAAGTCGAGTACAAGCCGCCCTGTCCGGATTTCCCGGTCGCTCTTCTGGTCAAACTGTTTTTACGTATGCGAATATATTTTACGTTGTTACGACATAACAAGATCTGCAAAGGCACGGAGCCACGCAGCTCTTTGAACGTGATGCAATTATAAGTTGCTCGTTTTTATTGCGTTATTTGCGTTTAGATTTTACTCTCTGTTGCGTGTTTTTAATTGCGATGCTTTTGACATTGCTTTATATTTTATTAGTTTAATTATTAATAATTGTCCTATTGCTGTGCTACGTTTAATCGAATATGTTTTATTCGCGTATTATTGATTACGTATTTTCGACAAGTTGAGATTTATTTACATATACCCGTTCAGTTCCGTCGGTATCAGTGATGATAAATATTGTTTTCTGAGATGAAACCTTTTTCTTCGCCAGTGAGTAATAATAAACAAATTTCCTTTCTTCGACTAACTGGCAACTTTTATTAGTAACAAGCACTACGTTCCGACTGTGATTCCAGTCCTTCTCAAGTGCATTAAATTAAGCGCGCTTGCAACATACAGAAGCTCTCACATTGTGCCAACAATGAGTCAATTTTCATAAATGTTCAGCGCCTCTGTTAAATTGGAGACATAAAAGTATTGTCATCTTATATGGAGAAACTAAATTCTTAACATCAAGAAACACGTCTGTAGCATGTAGCAGTCAACCTACAAATAAAATTGTAAGATACAATAAGGTTGTAAGCGCGCACTTAATTTAATGCACTTGAGAAGGACTGGAATCACAGTCGAAACGTAGTGCTAATAAAAGTTGCCAGTTGGTCGAAGAAAGGAAATTTGTTTATTATAAATATTGTTTTCTTGTCTTATAATGGACATGTTTGGACCGTTCAATCTTATTTGCTTTTTTCATATAAAGTTATAAGAATTGTTGCCAATTCGTCATCCGTAAATTTGAGCTACCTTGAAAATCATTGAATCCAAACGGATTCAATGGATAGGTGGGATTAACCGTCACTGATATATCACGAACATCACCGAGACGACACTCGTACGTCACGAATATGTGTAAATGGACCTTTACTTGAAGTACCTATAATTAGTACGAAATACAATTTTATAATTTGTTAATGTCGTTCGCTCTGCGTTTCTTTCTTTGCGAGTAAAGATTCTCCGATGTAAAGATTATATGCGTCTTTATTAAATATTGAGATTTTAATTTAAGTAGGATTAGCTTCTGGCTCAATCAAGGGTTTTCGATAAACCCTTCGCAATGTTTAGGGAACTGCATAAGTCATATGCTTTGCTACAAGGAAGAAAGTGATTTCGTACTTCTTCCGTTTTGTTTTCTTTTGTTACGAGGCCAATTATTCTTGTAACTGTTCCCTCGCTATCCTTCGCTACGAGAGCGAGAAAGCGGGGATGACGTGTAGCTCTGTGCTAACACGAGCGATTAGTAATAAGTGGTAGGGTCCTCGGTTCAATCTCGGCTCTCGTCCTGTATATTTTTCCGTTGAGGGAAATTTCAGAAAGTTCGGCGCTTGAAAGAGTTTAAGCGTCTAGTGTTGGAGTCAATATTTAATAAAAATTAAACACACGAATTTCAAGGAATTTTTAGAAATATCGCGCTGATATAATAGTTGAAAGGCGTTCCCATAAAGGGTAGCCCTGGTAGCACAGTGCATTGGCTAAACATTGGCCCAATGTTGGTTATACTAGAAATGCCATTGGCCGATGTTGTTCAGCGTAAAGCTAATATTGAACATGGAACAAATGTAAATATTACACGATAATAATTATATAATATTAGATTCATATTGGGAGTGCATTGGCCAATATTTAACAATGTAATAAGAATAAGAATTCTTATTACATTGTTAAATATTGGCCAATGCACTCCCAATATGAATCTGATCGGTATAACATTGTATCACTATTAGACCAAGAATTAGACCAAGAAACAATTAATAAAAATAAGAATTCTTATTACATTGTTTCTTGGTCTAATTCTTGGTCTAATAGTGATACAATGTTATACCGATATTGCTAAATAGACACATTGGCTAAACAAGAGAAGGCATCCATCTTACAATATTGGACCAATATTGGGAATACAAGATTTACATTATTTCCCAATATCGTGCCCATATATTGTGCTACTAGGGGGTAAAAAAAGAGTGAAAGAGAAGAAAATAAAACCGACTCGAAACAATTCTTTGAAAAAATCGATCTTAAATAATCTACTTCAATAAACTGAATTTTACAGAAGTGCGCCATTAATTGTTACGCAATTAAATTCAATTCGTTGCCTCGTATTCTTTGTCTATTTAATTCATCTGTCACTAATAAGAGAGTACAAAAACATTTCCTTTTCATAACAAAATTATACACGAATCCGTAACGTTTCAAATCTTCTTTTTCGGTCAGCTGATTGCGTTGGAATTGACATTACGACCAAATAGCATGATACGTGGTGGCCTTTTTTCGTCATAGGATAAGAGTACCAAGGGTTAAATGCCTCTGTACATGTATATATGTCTATACATATATGTATATATATAATAAGAAACGTCCAAGTTACAAGTAGGTCAGGCTGTGACGCGCAACGGCAATCGATATAATCTAAATACGATGAGTATACTCGCAAGAGGGGTGAAGTAATGCCGCGGAATAAACGCGCTTCGCTAAATACGGAAGCAGATTGGATCGTTGTGCCCGCCAGTGGTACCCATACCTGGCGCAAATCGTCCTCGCTAATGTCGAAACCGAATTTTCACGGTTACGTCACGTTACACAAAGTTATATTATTTAAATAACGTGAGTTCAAAGAATAATTTGAAAGTCTAGGAGGACACCCGCTCTGCTTGTAACTTTTTCTTCCTTCTTTCCGCTGATATTAAATTCTAACGTATATCCTTTATTTCGCTTCAAGTACAGAAAATGCAGTTGCAAAGTCTGCAACAAAAAGGGAAACCGAAAAATTCGACGAAACTCAACTAATCAATTAAACTACTGATAAATTTTTTAATAAAACTTAAAAGTTAAAAATCTACTTGAACAAAGAAACTAGATTAATAAACAAATTTTAATCCATATTCGCGGTCAGTTTGTAATTTCGTCAATTTTTTCCTATTTCTTACTGTAAAAATTCCCCGAACAACATATTTGTCTAAAAGCAGACTTAAAGCAGTCTTAAAGATGTCTTTTAGACACGCGTGGTGTATGGGTCTACTCGTAAAGGTATTTGTCAAGTTCTTCAAACGTGTTGATTGCTAGGATACTTAGGAAAATTCTTGAATCTTCAGGAATTTTTTAATTTTGGACCCAATCGATACCTACGCTTGAAAAATTTATCGTGAGACAAATGGTGTCTTGAGAAGTTTGGGCTCTCGTGACCCTGCCGGAAATAATTCTACAAAATTCTATTTGAAAAAATATACTGCCAGAATCTAAGAAGTTCTACGTAAATTTAAAAACTGTTACAAAAATCAACAAATATGCCAGAATTGAAACACTTGTTAATTTTTGTAATATATTTTGTAATACTGATTCTTACAAAATTTTACATTTTCATGAAATACTACTTGCAATAATTTCTTGATTTGAAAACATTGTAATTTGTGGTACTATTTTGTAGATATTTTTACAAAAAAAGTAACGTTTCAACGACGATATAAAAATTTCTACAAATTTCTATTTCAAGTCAATTTTTCTAGTTATTTATAGAATTTCTTCCGCTAGGGGAGACTCGACCAATACAAGTGGACAAGAGCTTTGACTAGACTTCGCCCTCGGCAAGACGCGTGGTCTCTCCGTAAATGTTTCACCTACGTCGTAATTTATCTGAGGACAAGTAGATATCACATTTTCAAATTAAGGTTGCTCTCTATGATATTTTAACGCTCAAAGCTCAAAAGCCTAATTAAGGATGTATCGGACCTGTCTTCAAAATAGTACGAAGTCGCTAAAAATTTGTGAAATTGTTCTTTTAGTCTTCCTAATTTATTGCAGAAAAGTAAAAATGCATCCACTAAACGGTTGCTGAGATATAACTATTTTAATTTACACTGATTTTACACGTACTCTTATGGGAAAAGCCGATCTTCACGGATAAAACAGCTAAAAAAATGCA